CTATAACATGAGTTCAGTTCTGGGTCCTGTGACTGGACAGAGGTCCCCCTCTGAGACAACAGTGGTTCCTATCAAACCAGCTCTTGGTCTGGTTAGTTTGGTAAAAGTCCCACCTGAGAGAATAATGGATCCTGTCACATGAGCTTTGGATCCCGTTACTATGGAAAGGAGTCCCACCTGAGAGAATAGTAGGTCCTGCCACATACACTTTGGGACCTACTGTTATGGGCATATGAGACATTCTGAGGTAGGGATGATATAAGGTGCTTTGAGGAATAGGGTCCTTGCAAAATAAGAACAGATGATTAATGAATAAGCATCTAGTCCCAAGAAGACAGCAGGGAAGAGCACTTCCTGACAGTGTGCATCTGAGTGTATGGAGCTATTCTACTCTCAGAGCAGGGAGGTCCTGCCACATCAGGTCTGGATTCTCTGAGTGTTGGGAGGGGTCCTCCCTGAGAGTAGGGAGTCCTGTCATGTCAACTCTGAGCCCTGTGAGTGTGGGATGAGTTCCCTCATGAAAGAGTTGAGGGATGCTTACACATCAGCCCTGGGTCTATTTAGTGTGGAACGTTGAGCCACTTGAGAGTATGGGGTCCTCAGACATCATCTCTGGATCCTGAGAGTGTGGGGAGGAGTCCAACCTAAAAGGGTGGGGGATCTGGTGACATTAACCCTGAGAGGGGTCTCACTCTGGAAAAGTTGTGTGTCCTGTCACATGAGCTCTATATCTTGTGAGTGTGAGGAAAGGTCTGTCCCTGAGATTTGGGGATCATGTCAAATCACCTCTGGTTCTTGTGAGTGAGGGGCAGGGTCTTTCCCTGAGATAGCAGGAGGTCCAGTCACATCAGCTCTGGGTCTGGTGAGTGTGGAAATTAGGTCCTTTTCTGAAAGAGTTGAGAGTCATGTCACATAAGCTCTGGGTCCTATGATAGTGGACTAGGATCGTACCAGAGACAGTAGGGGATCTGATAACTTCACAAATAATATTTACAACTATTTTTAAAAAATGATCAGAGGGGAGAAATCACATAAGAGTGTTTTATGGAATAAAATAGGAATTAAGGTGTTATGTAATGGTTTCTTTCAAGGGCACAAAGTTGTCATAAGATGTCCCTGAGAAATGATTTACTAACTTCATATGAAAACTCTAGAAAGGAAAGAGAGAGGCCAGCAGGAGATAGAAAATTAAATAAACAAAAAGCAAAGAGGCAAAACCTCTTTTGTCTAGAGAAATATTGGTGAATATTTTGAAATGTTATTCAGGAAAATCTTAGTGATTATAACACACAGTTTGTCCACTGCATTATGAAACATTCAAACCTGTGAAGAATTTTTCTGAGTTTATTTGAGCTAAAGTGTTGACAATTGTTGGGAAGCAGAATCTCAATGGATTGAGATAATGCTCCAGAGAACGGCAGTTTTGCACCTTGTTTTATAGATTACAAAAAGGCAGTAGGCTCACTTAAGGTAAAAACTGACAGACTGACCTTTGTCAGGGAAGATACCAGCCTAGGATATGAGTATCCATCATAAATGGCTTTTTAATTTTAAAGTTTTAATTTCAGAACATCCTTTGTAGTTACTTTAGGTCTTTGAGTTTGCAAGGCTTCTACACAGTTAGGTTAGCATGTGGTCCCTTTTTGTCCACAACAGGTAAAGTACTATTCTGGGGATAGGGAAGGGAACAGGGTTACAGACAGAAAAAAACAGGCTTGTGTTTAAGGAATTTATAATCCATTGGCTAAGGCAATGTATAATTGCCAATGAAGTGACACAAAGGTGCACACGATATTTACAAGCTCCAGACTTCCATATCTTTACTGCTCATCTGAGAGCCAACAGTATTTGGATGTCTCATAGACATCTCAAGTCTTAATAGGTAAAATACCTGAATTCTTGGTTTCCTCTCAAACCTCTTGTAATTTTCTCCATTTCAGTAAATGGCACTACTCTCCATGAGTAACTCTGGCCAGATAACTAGGAGTCATCGGTTTGCCACAAGTCACACAATATACCCATAGGTAAATGCTTGAGTCTATTTCCTTATCTAAAAATCATCATTCATTTCTCCCTTCCCCTGCCCAATCCCACCCTAAGCTGCCACCACCTTAATGTAAACAACCATTATCTCCTGCTTTTGTGGCTCCATTCACAACCCAAGTGGTCTGATCCCTGCCAATCTCTCCAGACTCATCTCATAGAACTGTTCTTTCTGAATATATGTATTCCAGCAACATTGGTCTTTTCTTAGGTTCTTGAACACGAAGAAGCCAGACTCTTTTTGGCCTCAGGGCCGTTGTACAATCTATTCACTCTGGAATGTTCTACCTTTCCAGTTCAATGTCTAAATTTTTCTCATTTCATAGGCCTCAATTTAAGTGTCAACTTCTCAGAGGCCTTCTGAAACCAACCTGATTCATATGGGCTACCTTGTTATTCCTCTAACGTCCATCCATAGAAGGTTTAAGTTCTATTAGGGCGGGAATCTATCTTGTTAACCGCTGTAATCCCAGTACCTCGCAGTTCTTGGCACATAGGAGAGAATCACTTAAAACATTCTCAGCAGAATGAATAACTACCTGGAGGTGAGGAGATAGTGCATTTGAAGAACTCAAAAAGACACTCGGTATGGCTGGAACCTAGGGCTAGAGTGGTGAAAAACAAAGCAGGAGAGGTTGGCAAAGGCCCGACAAAAAAAGCCTGGTGACCCATGTTAAGGAGTTTAGATTTACATCTGAGGGAAGATCGGAGCGACGGAAAGGTTTTATTATTTATTTTTAATTTTTTAAAATTGATTATGGTGTCACATAATTGTCCTTATCTCCCCTTCCCATCCCAAACCCCTCCCTACATATGCCCCCACCTCCCTTTTGTCCATGGCCACTGGCTAGGCCCATAGGCATGCACACAAGTCCTTTGGTTGATCTCTTCCCCTTACACCCACCCTCCCCTACTTTCCCTCCGAGGTTTGAGAGTCTGATCGCTGCTTCTCTTTCTCTGGGTCTGTTTTTGTTCATCAGTTTATGTTGTTCATTATTTCCTCTAGATGTGTGAGATCATGTGATCCAAGAAATACTCTTATAAAAACCTAAACTGCGACAAGCCATAATGGTTATGTCGAGAGGCAAATGAATCAGTCTGTAGAAGACAGAAGAGACACAATTCAGAGATGGAAGATGCTGACGACGCCTCACCATACCAGTAGACGTAAAGGTTTTAAATGGGGAGTGCTGGGACCAGACCTGGCAATGTGGAGCCTGGCTTGGAAGGAAACAAGACTGAAAGGAGAACCAGCTGGGAGGCTCCTGTCACAGTGACTGGCTACAGGTGAGCGATAGGAAGGCATCTAGAAAACGTGCACGTTTCTGGTCTGGTCCCACCGCTCAGTTACTCACTTTCCCTCTGGGCCACCACGGCAGTTTGGAAAAGACGCCTTTGCAGCACGAATTACTTTCAGCGCAGCAGCCGGCTGTGTCTGTCTCTCCGGGCACCTCCAACGCCGCGGCGTCCCATTGTCCTTTCTGTGTTTCCAGTTCCAGATGCTGTTCCGGGTCCAGCTCGGTAGCTCAGTAAGTAAATGCTCAGTAAACGATGGCGAAAGCTCGGTCTCAAGTGAAACGGACCGCCCTTTTAAAGAAGAGGCTGCCTCCTGGAACAACAACAAAGAACGCTCTGAGTCTCATTCATAATGTTCAGGGGGTTCATTAGAAGTTTCAGGGTCTCCCCCTCCCCGAAAACCCCTCGCCGCAGCCACTCACCGAAGGCCGAGGACCGGGACCCGGAACCTGCCCGGGCAACACTCCCACCGGCAGGCAGAGCCGGCTCCAATCGAACCTCCCGCGCCCCGCTTCCGCCGGAAGTGACGCTCCCGCCACTGAGAGCCAATCAGAAGGCGCCGCCGCCGAGGGTGGAGACGAACCAGGATGTGCTGTGAACGTTTGGGAGCGACCATTTTCGTCCAACTGGGAGTGGAGGCAGGTTGGACGGGTTTTTCCCCGGCCGGCGGGGCAGTGGTACTGCCTGTGGAGTGGGCGTGGGCGCGGCGGGCCCGCTGGGCGGGGGGATTGCCGCGGGGAGGAGGGCGGGAGGAGGGAGAAGGGGCGGAGCCGCCCCTCGGACTGGGCTTCGGCGCGGCGGCTGCGCCGGGTGAAGGCTGGGCGGAGAAGGGGTTGGTGGAGCCCCGAAGTCCGAAGGGGTCTCTGCCCGAGGGGATGGCACAGCCCGAGGCTGGGGACCGAAAGGTGAGGTGGCAGCGGGAGGCGGGAGAGGGGCGTACACGGAAGAAGGGACCAGGACCCAGTGGGAGTCGGGGGCTCTGTGGGCCCCCGGCGACCTCTCTGAGGGATGGGAGGTGTGGGCTGCGCGGGGGTTCGGGTTGACCCCCCGGTAGGGCCCCGCGGGAGGTGGTTGGACTGACTGAGGGACCCAGGACAAGCCCTGCACCTGCCTGAACCCGTTTGTATCAATGGGAACAACAGTCAATCATAAGCACGCAAAGATTTCCGTGATGGTTGAGTTTAGAGGAGATGGTGTGCGTGTGTGTGCTTATGCCCAGTTGACACAGTGACAGGTAGTGAACGATCCGTACCTTGTCACGGTAGCTGTTAGTATTATCGGATTTAGGGAGGGCAAGCGGTGTGGCAATGGCAGTAAGACGGACAGGGTAGGAGGTGACGATAAGGCGAGAATGTAGGGTGAGCAGGTGGAAAGGGAGCGATTTAGTCAGGTAGTTTGGGACCCTGGGGAGATGAGAGCAGGTTTGTAGTGTCCCCGAAAGGAAGGTGGAAGTGGCACCAGAGGGAAATAAAATGTGTGGCGCCCTCGGGGCGGGGGCGGTGTGACTCGGGTTGGCCGGGTTGCAGAGGGGCCGGGCGACTTTGGGTTTCCCCGGGGGAGGAGCCGATTGGTGGCGGGCGGAGCTGCGGGCTGGGCTCCGCTCTGGCTACGCGCATCAGCTGGTCCATCTCCCGCCCGCACTGCAGCCTCCAGCCCGAGCCATGGGGTGCCTCGTCCGGCTTCTACTCCTGGCTTTCCTGATGCCCGGGCTCGCCATCCCCGTGCCGCCAAGACCAAAGGCCCTCAGCAACCTGCACTTGTCCACCAGCTTTACATCACGCCCTTCTATAGTCATGAAGTACTCGATTCAGTACATCGAACAGAAGGTAAGGCTGGGTAAGGGGCCATGAAAGGCCTGGGGCTTCCCGGTGGTCTCCCGCCCAACCAACGGGACCCCAGGCACGGGACGGTGCCCACCCATTGGGGGAATTTCGGGGCCCCCAATGCCTATGACTTGTCCCATCTCCGGATCACGTTTTCTAGAGGGTGGCCCTAAGCCTAGTTCTGTTTAAAATCTCTCCTCCCTTTACCAATAGTTTACTCTCAGCCCTGGCTCCATACTCTTCTGTAATTGACCACGACAGTCACTTCGAGTCCTGCTCTCTGAGGATGCTCTCATTCAAATTTCCTTGAATCCCACCAAATCCAACTTATTGAGAATGACAATTCTGCTCCCTCTTCTGCTGTAGCAGCCATCCTTTATCACAAAGTTGTCCTTAAAAGTACATTTCCAATATCTTATTCGATGATCCTATGTAATAAAGAGCTAATATGCTAATTAGACCAAACAACAGAACAACCTCTGGACAATTCTTTAGGACCACTGTCCTGACAACTTTCCGGAGATAGCCAGGGCTGCTAGGGAGTTTTGTGCTTAGGGCCTCTAGTCTCTAATATTTAACCTAAAATGCCAGCTTGTTATTGTATGCTCAGCTCAAAGTTGATTTTGTAGTCCTTTTATTAAGAGTTTTTAATCTTCCTCATTCTCCACATGACTGAACATATTTGTAGTCCCTGCCTCTTCTTTCAAAGTCTTGGAATATTGATCTAGGAGGGCTATTTCATTTCTTTTACTCAAAATAAGTGAATCAGGAGAGCAGACAGAGAATAATAGTTCATCACTTGGGCACATCAAGGCTCTTGGGTACCTGTGTTGTAAAAGATTCCTTGGGATGTGTGACTTGTCCTTACAAAGTTTTCCTGCTTCTCACTACCCTCTACCTCCCACACTAGCCCCTCAGACTGGAATGTGAGTCCTGAGGGCATTTTACTGTGTGATATTGTGGGGAAAGAAAATGGATCCACCTTGTAGGCATGGCTCAGTGGTTGAGCTATGACCTGTGAACTAGGAGGTCACTGTTGGATTCCTGGTCAGGGCATGTGGGTGGATTCCAAGTAGGGGTTGTGCAGGAGGCAGCTAATTAATGATTCTATCATTATTGATGTTTCTATCTCTCCCTTACCTTTCTCTGAAATCAATAAAAATATATTTAAAAAAAAGAGAGAGAATAGGTTCTATTAGGCTGTCATTTTCATGAGTGATGACATAAAGAGCAATATCTATAAATCAGGGTTCTCTAGAGAAACAGAATTGAGAGAGAGAGAGAGAGAGAGAGAGAGAGAGAGAGAGAGAGAGAGAGAGAGATGCTCCACAAAGAAAGACTGATTATTTTAAGCAAATGGCTCATATGATTATGGAGGTTTGGAAAGTCCAAAATTTGCAGGGAGAGCTGAGGAAGAGTTGTAGTTTGAGTCCAAAAGAAGTATGCTTGCAGACTTCCTTCTTGCTCAGGGTAGCTCAGTCTTTTGTGATACATGATTGAATGAATCCCACCTATATCATGAAAGGTAAATCTGCTTTACTTAAAAATCTGATTCTCTGATTGAAATGTTAATTCCAACCAAAAAACACTTTCATAGAAACATTCAGAATAATGTTTGACACTGTGGCCCAGTCAAGTTGACATGTAAAATTAACCATCACATCTACCAAGGTAGTTGTGAGACTTAACACATGAAAGCATATGCACAGTGCCTGGAACCATAGTAGGAACTTAAGGAACTTAATAGAGTAGTGCTGGCTCCTCACCCATCCTATCTTAAAAGTACATTCCATAGTATTACACATTTCAGATTGATCCAAATGCATGCCAGTTGTGGAAATGCCTCTTCTAGAAACCTAGTGGTTAGTCACCTATACTCAACTGTTACTCTTTAATTACTGACCCGTTTTTATGTTAGAACGCTGCAACTTAGTCCAGCATTAAGCTCATAGCCACTTGTAGGCCTCTCCACAGCTTCCTCCTTGTCTGCTGTGAGGCCATAAAAGTGGGCTTGATACAGTTCTCCTTTCAATTTCTATTATAGTTCCCCTTTCCTACTCTTGTCACAGTGGCAGAGATGGTTAGTAAAATGTATCTATGTTAGGCCCCTTGGAAAAGCCTATTGTTCTTGTCTTTTTATCTCCCCCCCCCTCGCTTCTTGTCTTATTGGTTTATCTATTGATTGCCTTCTCTTTAGACCTAGAGCAATGGTCAGCAAAACTCATTAGTCAACAGAGCCAAAAATCAACAGTACAACTATTGAAATTTCTTTTGAGAGCAAAATTTTTTAAACTTAAACTGATTCTAATGCCACTTCTTCAAAATAGACTCACCCAGGCCATGGTATTTTGTGGAAGAGCCACGCTAAAGGGGCCAAAGAGCTGGATGTGGCTCTCGAGGCGTGGTTTGCCGACTACTGACCTAGAGTATAGTGTCACAGATATTATGTGAATTCTGAACTGATTTCTGTTTTTGCTCACAGAATCGTTGTCAGAAAGGGTCATAGAAATCATGTAGTCCACCCCTTAGAAATGATGAATTAACCTTGATTTAAATTATGGAGGGTCAGGATTTGATAGAACTTGATAGAACATATGGGTTTGAGAATGAATTCTGTTTTTACCACTACCTGAATAACTTTAGATAAATTATTCTGAGCTTCCATTTTTATAATCAGCAAAATGGAGATAATTATATTACCCATTCTACCCATTTGTTGTGAAATGAGCTGATATGTGTAAAGTACTTATTTAGCACAGTTTATATCATTTAATAAACACTCAATGAATGGTAAATATTATTTTATCTCATAGTTTTTTGCTTTTTTTTGTTTTTTGTTTTGAGAGAGTGAGTGAGAGTTTTGTTGTTCCACTTATTTATGCATTCATTGGTTGATTCCAAGATCAAACCCACAACCTTGGCATATCGGGACAATGCTCTAGCCAACTGAGCTACCCAGCCAGGACCTATCTTGTAGTTTCTTAATGTACACGGCTTTAACTTACTCCCTCTCCACTCAGAATAAAATACTTAAGTCATCCCTTTTCATGATCTAAAATAATTACTACTCTGAAAAATATGAAAATCTATGTGAATTCTTTTATGTTACAAATATAGTACATACCAGGAAGTTATAACTTAGTACACTTGTAAATAAGGCATGGAAATTGACTTGTTTCCTTGTTTAAAATAATTTTCTTCCTCACAAGACTGATACATAAAGGCATATGAAACTATTTTTTTTCTATGTTATTTTGAATTTAGTAAATTATAGGGTAGAAAATATGATAATGTATCCTTTTAAATTTTTGCACGTACTTTTTCACATTGTCTTTCTGATAACTGAATTTTGACTATTTTACCAGTTAGTGCTAAAATGCACTTTCAGTAAAAATTAATTTTAGGTTTTGCATTATTATGTTTATATCTGTCGGCATATTATAGGGACTTCGTGCTTTAGGCACTTAAAGTATTTTCAAAGTTTGGGTTCTGGTATCAGCTCATGTTATGACCTTCGGCCAGTTGCTCACCACAAGGCAAGCCTCAGTTGCTTAACTCTAGATCTCACATACAAGGAAAGAGGATTGGACTGCCTGATCTCTGATGCCTGTAATTCTGTTCATTGTGGGCCTCTTGTCTATGGGCACTGTATTAGGAGCAGTAGGGATGTGGGCACAAGTCTATTTTTTGCCCTATTATTGATTGCATTTGGTAAATCAGACCTAAACAAAAATTTCCATCTCAATATTGAATAAAATCCAGACTCATTTAATGTTAAGTGTTTGGTTGTTTTTGTTTTTGTTTTTTTAAATTAACTCTGCCAATGACAATATTTATAACTCAGAACATGTATTTTTGTTTATGATTTTAAAGTTTGCTTGATTATGAGTGAATTGGAGAAGAAAGAAAATTGTAGGTAAGAAGAATCACTGAAGCCAAAATCGGTTTGGCTCAGTGGATAGAGTGTCAGCCTGCAGACTGAAGGGTCCCAGATGCGATTCTGGTCAAGGGCATGTACCTTGGTTGTGGGTACATCCCCAGTAGGGAGTGTGCAGGAGGCAGCTGATTGATGTTTCTCTCTCATTGATGTTTCTAGCTCTCTATCCTTTTCCCTTCCTCTCTGTAAAAAATCAATAAAATATATTTTTTAAAAAAAGAATCACTGATGATATGTCTTCATTCCTAATGTTTTGCATAGTGCCCTCTATATATTAATTCTTAATAAAGATTTTTTGAATTAAAATGAATAAGGAGTAAGAGGTGGAAGAGTAAAATAAAATGTGCAGTACATAAATATCTAATGCATTAATAATAATATGCTACCATTTATTGAAAGCTTTATATGTCCTAAGTATTCTGCTAAATACTTAATAGACATTCACTTATTTAATGAAGTAGATATTATTGCTCTATGAAGTAGATATTATTGCCCTATTTTGTAGGTGTGAGCTATCATATAGAGAGATTAATTTACATGTTCACGATAAATTGCTAAACTATACAGTTTTTTAAAAAAATAAACTCCCACAAATTTCTAGTTCTAAAATAAATACCATTACCTCGGTTATTGCATAAGTCAGAATAGGCTAGGTTATATTCCTGTAACAAAACTCCAAAATTTTTACGACTTACCCCAACAGAAATTTGATTCATACTGTATTTTCATTGGGATGGGCAGAGGCTTCTGCTCATTATATTCTTTTGGAGGCTGAGGGACTGATAGAAACTTTTCTCAATATATGCTCTAATAATCATTGTAGCAATGGGAAAAGAACCTAGAAGAACTTATGCCAGCAAATAAATGCTCCAGCATGAAAATGACACACATGTTACTTCTTTTCACAATTAATTGGCCAAAACAAGTTCTATTACTGCATCTAATCACAGGGTGGGAGACAAAAGGTACCGACTTTGGAGTGCCAAGAAGGAACAACAAACTCAATTAGTCACTTACTCACCTATCCACCTACACAGGATTCATCCAATCCTTTTACATGTCTGAT